CTCAAACCTCCTTGCGAAAATTTGGATCACTTCAGGCGATATGAATTAGTCGTACCACATCCCCCCAGATGTCCGCCTGACTCGGCGATTGTGCCGAGTCTACGGATACCTTACTGATGAGACCCGAATGTTAAACTGGTATATAAACACACCCTTGAAAAAAGTCTGGTTCTATTCCAGCAAGGAGGAGGGGCAAGCAGTTCAGAGCGATCAATGTGCTCGAAGCCACGGATAGCAGTATCCTTATACTGGGATATTCTCCCAGAATAGGGTTAGGATTACTAGACCTTAGAAGGGAAGGAACACCCCGGGTTCGCAATCAGACAAGGGACACAAAGCAAAACAAGCGAAGGAGAAAAAAACAAACCAGCTTAATGATTTTGATCAGCATCCAATTGTTGCTCGACGTTGTCATTAGTTTGAAAAATACCGGCGCAAGCGTCAGATAATTCTTTGGATTTTTGCGAGCTAGTTCACATATGACGTTGACAGCCGCACTTTGAACACCTGAAAAAATCTAGTAATCCTACCAAGAATGGAACACTTGTCAAGTAAGCCCACATAACTGATCCCCAACTCTCGGCTTGAACTCACCGGGATCAGGATCTTCGAGTTTGTCCTTCAACCGCTGGAATGTCGGCCGCAATGCCTCTGGGTATTTCAAAAATATTTTATACAACAGGAGAACGGCTCGTTTTCGAGTGTATGGGCGTGACGAAGAAAGCTAAATTAGATTAAAGAGGACATCATTGGAAGCTTACAAATTTAGCTGCTCTAGAAAACTCACGAGATTAACGATGTCACTGGCGAGATCCCGCGCCAGATCCGGAGTTACGAAACAGGAAAGACCACCCAATGCAACACCCGAATCGTACATGTTGGAGCTTGAAGCAAAAGTTCAGATTCTTGAAAAGCAATAGAAGACAATTGAGAAGAAATAAGAAAACACGGCTTTACAACTTCAACAATTACAAAAGGGCAATTTACCTATTAAGATCTTTGCGAATCAAGTTTGTGGTTAGCATAAGGACGTCCGTAGTATCATGAAAACACTGAGCGGCAGCAAGATAGCTTATAGCAAACATTAAGAGTAGAAGCCATCAACATTGAAAGCGGCCCAGGAAATATCGGGGGAACGGTGCACACAATCGATAGCTCGTCGCGCTGTCTTGCAAAAACCTAGTAAACATAAAAACCTTTCAGTTCCAACACTATCTTTTCAAAAAGTAGGGTTAAAAGGGAAGAGAATCTTCTAAAACATTGAAACAGGGAACGTAAGCAACACCTCAATACTGGGATAGACCACAGAGATTCAAATATTAAAGGGACTGGTGGACTTGGCGTCCTTTAGCATTCAAATTCAAACAGCGCAAACGTATACTCGTCCAACGCCATCGCGGCGTTGTGGCCACGCCCGCCAGCGCGGCGACCCAATTACTGCGACGATTGTATAAGCACGCAGCCAGATATAATTAGGGTAAACCCACATATAATACATAGAAGAACAATTATACATTTACTAACATTTATTATGACGTAATAACTCACCATACTCCTCGAACTCCCCGGGGGTCACCTCTCTCAGAGGTGAGCCCCACCAGCTGACTCGACGTATTAGACCCCCACGTTGGCTCGGCTTCTTCTGGGGGCTCCATGCGGCCGACGTGTCCTATCTGGGATGTTGTAAGGGCTGCTCCCAGACGGGGAGCAGGGGAAGGACACGACCGGCTTTGGGATGACAGGCGCTCCGCCAACATGGACTACGGAGCGACGTGCCCCTTCGCCTTAGCTGGCCTCATCGCGTTGCCCGGTGAACACCGACCTGCCACCGGTGGCCAGCTCCTACGAGCACCGCCGCACGGACGGCGCGCGTAGCGCCGACTAACTGGCCTCGACCGCAGGGAGGCGGGGCCAATGGCGCTGGAGCGCATTGGCATCCGAGCGCAAGTGGGCCGGGGCGCGCGGTGCGCCCAGCGGGCCACCGTCGCATCCGCGACATGCACTTCTTAGTCCGCGGAAGTGCCTTGAATAAGTGATCTAAGCCCATTCTGCCTTTGAGAGGCAAAGCTATCGGATGCCAAATAAGGGACGTGCTCGTATTAATTAATGACCGTTCGGTGATAAATGTAATCAGTAAATGAAAACTGCCAGAACTTCCTGCCCCTCTCCCACAGGTTCAAATAAGCCCCTCTAACTGAGCGTACCAGTTTACTCTACAACCAGGCTGAGAGGGTTCGTGTCTGAACGTGTTCACCGGCTACTGCGCCAGCTGCTGGCTCTAAATTTGACCCTTCTTCTAAGAATGAATGGCAAAGGTCCCGATAATGGCCGTAACATAGACTTTGATGTTGAACTTGGCAGTCGAAATCCGCAAAATATCCTCCTACGACCTTCCAAACAACGGCTTGACATCTAGTGTTCCAAGTGTTGTTTGGAAGGTCGCGTGGAACAGTGGGCGGGCTCAATGGGGTTGGGGCGGCGCCAATGCTCAACCTAGCCCGCCGAACTGTTCGAACGAAGGGGTCGCATTTTGGCCAGCTGTGTGCTGACTGGATCTTTGGCGTTGACCGTGGAGCAGCTTATTTACTATTGAAATTTGAACAAATATTCAAATGATTATAACTTTCTTCAAAGTTAACGAATTTTCAATCTGAAAGCAGATTTGGGAGTTTTGTGAAGAGCTTTTCTAATCAGTATTGAAATTACAAAAAGTTATAAGAAATAACAAATTTAGATCAAATTAACGAGGAAAATTCGAGATGAGCACGAGTTTTTACACTTTCCGAAGCCAATAACTTGCTATCTAGCAGTTAGAAAAAAACTTATCATTTGCTGAAGACTTGATTGAGTTTATGCAATTGACTGCTTTTAACTGAGCTGGTTATACAATGATACAATGTGCACGTACCACTGATGTGATTTCACGCAAATAGAAATCTTAAGTATGATCGCACTACAGTATCAGCGCAGCTAACGGGCAAACGTTGCAGGCTGACGCGCGCTTATCAAGCCTGTTCATGCAGTTTTAAACGCACTTTCTATCACCCAGCAACAATGTTCCCGTCCCACCCCTTATAACGCTTGTAAGTATGGTTGCACTGGTGTCAATGCGAGCCAAGTAACGGAATCGACGACTTTTGCGTTCTGACGCGCCTTATCAGCCTTTATCAGTTGTTATCACTTTCAATCACCCAGCAACAATGTCCCCGTCCCATCCCACATAACACTTGTAAGTGGATGCTCTGGTACCAACGCGAGCTGGGTAACGGAATCGACGACTTTTGCGTTCTAAGCGCATCTATCAGCCCTTATCAATTGGTCACTTATCAGCCCTTATCAGTTGCTATCGCTTTCATTCATGTACCACCAATGTCCCGGGACCACCCCACATAACACTTGTAAGTATAGACGCTCTAGTACCAATATGAACGACAAAACGAAATTGGCGATGCTCGCTTTCTAGCCCCTCTTATCAGCTATTATCAGTCGTTATCAGTTCCTATCACGTACCACTTGTGTCCCCATCCCACCCCCTATAACATATGTAAGAATACACACACACAGGCATACAGCGAATTATATATAGTAGGATGGTCGTGAAGCCGAAGGAGGCCTACCGTGTACGTTATTATAATACTTCATTTAGTCAGCTGGTAGATAACTTTCTAGAGAGACGCCGAGATTGTGCAAGTCACGTGCAAGCCCTTTTCGACCAGCGCTTCAAATACCTACGGTCCACGATCGCTGGCTCGTTGGGCTCGAACCGTGCACCATCTTCACAATGCTCCACGAGGCGCGCAAAGTGGGACGCGCTACCGCGTCACGCTATCATCAACGTGTTAACAACGAAACATTTTATTGAAGGAGATACCGTGATAAAGACGAACACAGACTGATTTTCTGAAGGTGTAGACCGACACACTAGTTGCATCTCCCGGCTATCTAGCATAACCTTCCCCGCGGCCCAAGTGGCGCGGTTTCCCGGTATGCCCCTCTCGCGTCGTCTCGTGTCTGAGTCTCTAGCCGTTCAGCAGAGAGAGCGTTAGCGTTGAAGAGGGCAGCACCGATGAGAATCGCATCAATGCGCAAATCAACGGCAAGGAAGGGGTCTTATTTTTTGGGTTCTTGGCCATTTTCCTGGATCAGCCCCTTCGTCCTCCTCCCCGCTCCTTTCCAGTGGGACGACTTGGTAGGATGCACCTCTTATTCACAATGTTTCATGTGTTGTACATGTGCTATGCTGTTTTCAGTTGATCTGAAGAAGGGCTTAGGCCCGAAACGTTATCAATAAAGTTTTTGAAAGAAGAGCTTCCAAACTACATTCACTCTAATTTGGAAAATGAAGCTCAGGGAACCAACAATACTTCCATGAATAAATTGCAATTACATAAAGCCATATCACGTCTTGAAGGCAAACCCCGGGATTAGCCCGACTAGTAGGAGGGATACCACGAGGGAAATTGTAAGGTCCGTACCTACCTAGATCACTCCAGCTTCGTCGCGAAAATTGCGCGGTTAGGGCGCTAATCCTTACGGGCCTCCAACCATCGAACTTCCCACCCACCGCGAGATGTGGTGAGATCAGCGTGCATTGATGAGATCAGCGTGCTCTCTCAAACGACGTGCTCTCTCGCGTATTTTGTCTTCTTTGACCGCCCTTTCTCGCCATCGTACCACATCCGACCCTATTGAAGGTTAAGGCCTTAATTTCAGCGTTCCCAAAGATTTCTCTTGCTTTCCTTTCCACTTTCAGGTCGTTCCGCAGCTAAGCTATCACTACAAAGCGCTGATAGCACCAGTTCAATCCCGGAGTTTGCCTTTAACGTTCCGAATTGAAAGTTGCGGAAGATGCGCTCTTGTTCCCGTAATTTTTGCCCATCCTGCACATTTTTTGAAAAAGACTTGAAGATCAGCTCGATGTTTGCTCCCTTTAATATTTTACATCTCCAAGGCTCAAGAACGAAACACGAAAAACAGCATGTCAGCCGAGGTCAAGCGGGGCGTCCAGGAAAACTGAGATACGAACCCTCAGTAGGTTAGGCTGTCATGCACAACTCTTCTCTGCGCATAACAGACCTGTTAAGAGATGTAGTAATCAAATCGCAACGCAGCTTTTCTACTGGGGAGACACGTTAAAAATTGAACAGCTACCATAACTTTGTTCAGAGTGGACGTATTTTCACTTTGAAAGAGATTTGGAAGTCCCTCCGAGTGACACGTGTTTTCAGTTGTGACTAAAATGGAAATTCTTGGAAGCTCGGAGCGTAGTACAACTTCGACTCATAAATTCCTTCAAATACATCGGATTGGGAATTTAGCGAGGAGGTAGATGCTACCCTATTTTCGGGATGCAACGCTGTCTTTCAACCAAAAAACCGACAGTCGACAGAAATTTTTCTGATCAACGCCTACTTGAAGTGACCTCTACGTGGGAGTCAAAAATAGCGAAAGAATTCATCAGACCTACGCCAAAGATAATTTACTTCGATGCATCCTGCCTCTTTCAGCGATCATAGCTTATTTCAGGAAAGATTTGTGCAGAATTGCAATGAGCTCTGGAGTTGGCGAACATTCTGCTCTCTAACAATTGTAGAAGTGTACTGCGAGGTTTCTATTTGAACATATTTGTACGATGTTGACGCTAAAAATTGCAAGTCTGTTGGAAATTTACAAAAATTCAAAATGCAGTTCTTCTTGTATACAGGGTGTCCCAAAATTATGGGCGCCTACACACAGCAATATATTTCAAGCTTCTAAACGGACGATGCTGACTGAATTAACACATAAGGTAAATTGCATCATCCCCAACAATGTGGAACAACTAGATATCGAAATACTCTCCAACGCGACTAATGCAAGCTCGAAGTCGCTTCTTAGGCTTCGCGCACGTTGCACGCAGGAATTCCTCGTCTATTTCTTCTCGGGCTTCCTTCAATGTTCCTTCCAGTGACTCGAACTGTGACGAAGAACTTGACACACCTTACTTTCGCTCAACGACCACACTAAGAGGTGAGGTGGGCGCGAACCTGGTGAAAATGACGGCCGTTCCTCCGGTGCCAGCAAAGTCGGGCAACTGAACTCGGCACCACACTTGGAGGAACTTGGCCATGTAGGCCTGAGCACTTTTCTGCTGGAAACAACTCGGGTTATTTCCAAGGTAGGGCTCGTGCCGAGCCTTCATTACGTTCACCTCAAGTGTCCGGATTTGCTGATTAACTTACCGAAATCAAAGGAAAACTAACGGCCCCTTACCACTGGACGTGGTGTTCCTTTAAACCGAAATTGAGACCAAGTTCGGTGATTTGCAAACAATCTTTTAGCGTGGAGTAAGCACTCCTGACATTTCTGCCCGAAATGCAATCTTTCTGGCTATTGCCAATCCGCTCTGCTATGGAATTTTGTTCCTAAGGAAGTAGTTTAGTACGGGTGGGTCTAGGCGGGTGAGCAACCTTCTGCAATCTTTGACCCTCTGCTGCTTGTTGATATCGAAAATGAGCTGGACACTCCTGCGCATATGGTAGGAACGGCTATGTAGTTCTTCATTGACTACCTTTCCCATCGATGACTTCGATTCCTCCAGCTCCTCCGCCATTCTTCTGAAGGAGCGTCGTGGGTCGCGGTCAATTTGAGAATGGAACCTTTCAGACACCCTTCCGGCAGAAACGGCCAGCCTTTCTACCTCTCTTAGGCCTATGCATAATGGACGCTGTTTCCTAGTATCGTAGGATAACCTTCCGTATAACCCTTGTGGAAACTACAAAATATTTGACATTGTCCTTCATTGGGGTATCCACCTCGTGCATGCGAATGATCGCAGGTCGCAGTGAAAGACCTCCCGCCCTCCTGAAGATAGTAGGGATTTCACACCTACAATCAAACAGGTTACAAGAGGACCTTTGTGTGTAACTAATCATCAGCAAATGAAGGGAGAATAATCGAGTACTTTTGCCAAACAAATTTTGAATTTCGGCGCCCATAAATTGCACTGATACAGTGCGTACCAAAAGTATGTGGACACCCTAGAATCGATTCTCAGGAGTCAGCTAAAGGCTTTTGTGTTATGAAACCTTCACCATTCAACTCCTAGTGGTCGATAACCTACAATGACATTTTCGGCAAAAGATTTCGTTCTAACTTAGCGAACTATTTTTCATGGAAAGTTTTTTCTTTGTATCAAAATTATGTGGACACCCTGAGGCAGATGAAGTTTTTGCATCGATTTCCTAAACCTATTTTTACTTCTCCTTTCGTTACTTATTCTGGCATCATTCCTCTTCACGGCAAGCGTTTTTCTGAAGAAGACCGAGCACAGAAATGGGATCCCCATGCTTCTGAACCTTCCTATTGCGAAATAGCACGTCAACCAGTCATGCGTCCTCGTAGGTTTGGAGAGAAATCCGAAATCCTGATGCTAAGCTCTCGACCTTGACTGAGGGTTGTTCTCAATCGCTACTTGTTCAAACGTAGTAATTGTTAGCCTTCATTTTCTCTTTCGTACACTCAACTTTCCGCTGAGAGAGAGAAAAAAAAACCAATCATGTGTCTCATTCAATCAATTGAGCACACGACACGAAAGAAGATGAAGAAGGCTTTGTATATGAATGCGGGTTCAGGTTGGCAAGGTTGGAATTCCCACTCAAAAAAGGATCACAACATGATACTTTGAACCCACACAGACAGTGCTTTCGTGGAAATGGTAAAATTAGTATAAAAGACTTTCTGTGGAAATTTCTTCATAGACCAACTCGACTGGCAGAAAGAAGCTTATTCCTTACTATTCGGGTGAGTCTTGAGGTTTTGGTCGGACCCGCAGATGTGCTCGAAGAGACAATTCGGAAGATGTTCATCAAAGGTCTGGGGTGGTTCCAAAAGGAGGGGGACATTGAAGTTTGGCTTGCCAACATGTCAGGTAGACGACTAGGATTATAATGAGGTGCTTGAGTCCCGGCTACAACCTTTTTCGAAAAGTCATGGTCGCAAATCACTTGTTTTGCAGGGGAGGTCCCTGACACCATTCCATTTGGAAAAATGCTAAACGCAACGGCTTTGATTGGCAAGTCGGCTAGCGTATTCCTCAGACTTCATCCTTATTGAAAACGTAGAGGTATCGTGGTTCGCGGTCTCTACGTCATTGAACAAAAGAGTAATATCACAAGTGACCTAACACGTCGGTGAAATTTGCTAGTTGGGAACAGATCTGCAAGACATGTATCCAGACCCCATTCATAGCATGCCAAACAGAATGGCTCAACTTACTAGAAACTTTGGTAGGCCTACCGATTTCAGATTTGAAGATATTGCCGTTTTTCAAAAAGTGTCCACATAATTTTGATACAAAGAAAAAACTTTCCATGAAAAATAGTTCGCTAAGTTAGAACGAAATCTTTTGCCGAAAATATCATTGTAGGTTATCGACCACTAGGAGTTGAATGGTGGAGGTTTCATGACACTAAAAGCCATTTTAGCTGACCCTGAGAATCGATCAGGGGTCACTACTTTGGCGTACGCACCTGTAGTACTGGTCCTTCCCTGACATTTTGACAGCCGTCTCGTAGAAACTCTGCAAGAGAGGCTCGACAAAAAATCTCATCTGCATGCAAAATACGTAACTGAAGCTGCCCATGGATCGCGCCGTGAACTCCACTCAAACTGTCGAAAACTATCTACCGCTGTACTTCAGTTCTTTTCATTATTATCGTGGATAATGAGTTTCAAGCCAGTGATTTATGGCTGAAATAGAATCATGATTTTTCCGCGCAAGATTCCTTCTAAAAGTACAAGCCCAACTTTCGTAATTCTGACATTACGAAGAATCAACATCATGGACCATTTCTTCCCACATTTGCCTGACATTCGTAAAATGTCACCGCGCGACCTGGTGCCCCGAGGTGGTGGTGGATGAAGCGCATCGGTGGCGGAGCACCGAGGACACGGCAGAACGGGTATTAGAAGGGCCCGAACACCCTGTCCTAGGGGGATGCGTCGCGTAAGGAATGCTCTGACGACTGTTGCCTGCCGCGAGCCTGGTGAGGCCCTCTCCCCTATCTGACGACCTTACGACCGTGCTGCTAAAGATGTGTAGATATTGCTACATAACAGAACACTAAGTATTAAGGTGATTTATACTAATATTACAATAGATTGCGAGACTACGTTATATAGAGAAGGATAAGAGAGATGGGAAGAACCTACGGGCACGATCGGAAGGATAAGCGGCGGAGTGGTATGCGACCGATCCGTTGGCTGTCGTAGATGGTGTTGACGGCAGCTCCAACCATGGCTGAGGACTCCACGGACACAACCGCTCGGCGAGACGACTGGAACGACGACTGACAGACAGACGAGCGCGGGCCAAGGCAGAGATGCAGAGCACTTCCCGCACTTCTGGATGTTGCATGCGTTCGAACCATGGGAAAGTGTCTGCGTCCGTGAGAAGGCGTAGTATTTCGTCCTCCATAGCGTGGGAACGTGGCTGGAGCACGGGAAAGTATCGGCGCATACCTTGCACGTTGAAAAGGTCGTGACGAGAGTCGCGACAAGAAGCAGTCCAGGAAACAAAAGGACCACAGCTTTGTTTTTGCATGAGCCTGCACAACATTCACGAAACTATTTCGAAAAGCGTTCCATGTACTTGACGACCTCACTTGTCAGTGGATGGGCTTGCCCCCAGATGTTGGGTGTAGTGAGCATCTCTTCGGGTAAACCTCGAGTGCGTGGCCGACCAAGATGGAGCTTCGCGAATAGCAGCATCATCTTATACTCACGAGCGAGTTTTTGAGGGGGTAATGCTGAGTATGATACTTTCGGGATTTCCATTTCACCCATCCGACTTGTGACAAACAAAGCGAAAAAACGCGAAGTTGCGTTTATCACGTGAGTTTTTGAAGTTTTACGACGAGTACCATGCATGACGAAGGCTCGAAAGCGTCATAAAATCATCAGGCGACCCCACGAAATGGTCCCCGATTGTAGAAGTAATGAAAATGGCGAGAGGCGAGAAAGTAAGTAGGGAACACGATAGTTTTTATGAAATAAGTGTTCACCTGTTCAACCAAATTTGCAGTTTTGCACAAGTTGACTAGCACAAAGACTAGGCATGTTCATGATGCTGAAGATATTTTTTGTATATTACCCTTTTTCAAGAGGAGTTGTGAACGGAGGACGGTTCACGATGGTGCTCGAAGGTCGAAGACCGTCGAATTTTGAAAAAATAAGGCGCATGATTGTACACAATGGTGATTTTGTGCTTAATATTGAGAACCGAGAAGAAATTCATAACTATACAGTAACTTATGGATATTCAAAACAGATAAATAATTTCAATCTTTCGTTTCAAGAAAATCGAAAAAAACAAAACGCTAGCTAAACAGTGGTCAACATTTATTTATCATGCAAAGAGAGATCACCGAAGCATGTTCCCCAAAAATACCCCATATATCACATACAAAGGCTAACTCTATTGAGATACTCATTAACTTGATTTTCAGCATGTGATGTTACCGAAAATACCATGAATGTGTTAATCGGACTGCGGCTGAAGTCTCGTCGCGTGTCGGAGCGTTAGTAGGCGAGAGACGAGGTTCGTTTTGCCCGATACGTTGCTGTAAAAGATAATCCTTATTGAACCATAATGAATTGCGTCCAGCGAATACATACTTGCTGTATAGAGCTATATCCGCCCGGAAATTTTATTCCAATTATGCAAAGCGCATTACTGCGAGGTCCTAGGTGTTTAATATGCCTTTGGAAAGGGAGAAGTAGAATATGAGCTGTAACTCTAAACACGAACCAAGAGCATGAACTTGCCAGACTGATTTCTCAATGCGGACAACGCTACGAAACAGTCAATTCGAGCGCGTAGGGAGAGAGTGTAGGGGAGCAGGGTGCAAACCCCAACACCTTTGCACGGTAGGCGGACGTACGTATTGAATGGGTAAGGAGCAGGGTCAACCGTTCGTTTGCCACCTATTCAAACGGGGAGAGAGGATGGGCGGTGTCGCATACAAATATTGCGATTGTGGGAAGGGGGAAGGCCGCATTCTGATCGCAATAAAGATGAGGATTTGTTTTTTTTTTTTTTTTTCTTTGGCGGAACCAGTGATCTGCGAAAACTTATGTATTCAGAGGTTTTTTTTAGGTTTTCCACAAAAAATTCAAGAATGAAGAAACAGCAATGATGGCGAACTGGGGTAGCCCCCGAGACTGATGGTGGTGGTGAGGTCGCGAAATTTTCGGAAAGGTGCCGAACGCGACAGTTAGGACCCTGGTAGGGAGTGTGGTAACATGCCACAAAATGCTGGTCTGAGCATTTTGATCTATGAAAGAGCCGCTATATCTGTAGACACATAGCTACTTCAACCACTGGAAAGTGCTACATCAATAAATATCATGAAAAATGCGGACTTTAAACCCTTGTTTGCGAAGAACTCACTGGAATGAATGCGCTATCTCGAGTGAAGCTGAGCATAAGAGGCGTTCGTAACATGTCCAATAAATCGACTTCTCGTTTTAACATCTGCGATGCATCTTAAAACACGGAATGAATTTTTTTAAAGGATCTTCCGTCACATTACCCTCATTATCACATTTTCTTCTAAATAATTTCTTACAATCCATTTGGTCAGAGCTTGAAGCTTGGAAATTGATTGGGGGTAAGAGACCTCAAGCTTACAAGGTTTACACCAGACAAAACAATCTTCAGACTTCAACTTCCGTTCACACAATATACGAAAAATGAGGAAAGTTGACATAAACAGATCCAATATTTCAGGGTGAGTGAGCCCGGTGTCAGAGTTCGCCAATCCGTCGCGCGATTCGCGCGATTCAAAAATAGCAAGTGCCCTACTTTGCCATTTGAAACACTGTCTATGAAACAAGTAGGTTCATGAACAGTCGTCATTCAATCATCACTATCAAGCAGAAATGGCATAGGGATTGCAGAGTCCATCCGCGGAGGTATCGGGACCGGCATTGCGATCTTCGCTCCGTCGTACAATTCGGCGCGACGATCGTGGGCCTCTGTCCACTACCCTAAAGGGATTTAGGTCATCGTAGCGCTCCCATGAGAGCCCAGGAGGTGTGCTTCCACTGTATTTGTTTGCGGGTTCAACATTCGATGCCTAAGAAAGCTTTCGGATTTGTGTTAATTCGCTGAGAACTGGAAAGCTGGATATTTTCAGCCAGAGTTGACCAAATAGTAATGGCTATGAACGTATGAACCATGTGACCATTGGCAACGAAAGTTCATTGCTGCCTTGGTCGGGCACATTTCAGAACGACTTCTCTTAGTTTTGCTGTAGCCTGACCAAGATTTCAGCACATTTTTATTAGGCTAACGTTTCGGCCTCTTCGCCTTCGTCAGAGCCTAGATCTTTGTCGCTAAGGCGCAAGATCGACCACCCAAAAGCAGACTTTGGCGTGGAATCGAAAATCCCTGTCGATGTTAAGGCATAGTCAATGATTCTGACCGGGCGAAATGAGTTCAGGGTAGTAGTGGTTAGTGGCAAACAAGCTCGAACTTACCAGCTACAAGTCGTAGACACTCATCACAAAGTTAATTCGACCCACTAGATGGACATTCTTATCTTCAGCAATACTTGGCTAAAAACTTGCGGCTGGCGATGCAAACAATTGTTAATTCATGGGCCCATCTTGTGACTATTACGGGCGAGGTCATATTCAAATGCCACTTATACATACCTTGGAATGCACGTACGGGGAGGCAAAAAAAGAGATATTCTGCCCATATCACACTCCAGCGGTTTTTCTTGCCTAAGGCTTAGTACAGTTTCAACAAAAAGGACGCGCTTCTAACTACTGATTTCAAGAATGATGTTCAACTAATGGCCCCGTGTCTTGCGAGAGCACATAGTTCATCCTTGAACCCTCAGCATATAATTCCCTTATACGATTGCGACATACCCTTGGTAGCAAAACCCAGATACAAAATTTTCAGCACTGAGAAAAAGCTTCCAAATAAGAGAAAAACGACGGTCACTCCTTCACTTTCCTAACGCTTTTTCAATAAAGAACTAAAAGAATGGACGAAATTTGCACTTACATCCACTCAATATCAAGACAAACAGAACAGCAGCACTTGCCGTTGCAACCATTTCCTGAAATTGAACAGTTTTCCTGGCGCCTAATTTCAAAACAAAGCATGTACGGCAACGACAGTCAAGGATTGGCAACCATGCAACCATGGGTCGTATGCTATCCTCTCCGAAGGGGTTAGGGGACGGAAACTCCTTGAAAATGTCTCTGTCTTCCCTACTGGGATTACCCTGATAAAACGCCTACATTAAATGTATGTATGCAGCTTAAAGGTAGTGACAAGTGGCGCGCTACCACGCGAGCGGTCCCGGGATCAAATCCTGGGTCGTGAGTCGCCCGGGCCAACCAAGCCTTCCATCCCTCCGGGGTCGGTTAATTGGTACCAGACTTGTCTGGGAGGATAAAAACACTGACTTGTACATCGGCTGGCCCCCGCAAGTCATTGTATAGGCCACATCGCATTCAAACGCCACTACGAATGTACAAATGGAAGTAGAATGCGTGCCGCATCCCAAAAAGGGATTGATATCAAATGCTTTATCCTTTATCCTTTATCAAGTTATCGTAAAACGCAGGATAAAAGACTTGAAAACTACATCGTTCGAAGCAAATAAATTTAAAGGAAAGTTTGCGTCACCTAGCTTCGGGCAAGGATAGCATACGGCCCCATGATAGCTACAAAATGAGAAGGAATGAGAAAATGTATCTCCAGTAAAAACAAAGCGAAAAACAACATGACAAATGAAAAAAAATGATTAATGGTCAATGCTTCACTTTCACTACGACAAAGTACGCCCACGAAAAAAGGGATTATTATGGGCCGACGTGGTGTAGTGGCAGTAAGCATTGCTTACCACCCGCGGTTTGGGGATCGGATCCTGGGTGGATGCGTCGTCAGGGCCAACTAAGTCCTGCATTTCCTCCCGAAGTCGGTTAGTTAGTAGAAGACTTGTCTGGGAGGAAAAACACTGGCTTGTGTACTGGCTGACCCACCGCAAGTCCTTGCAAAGGCCAAATCGCATCCAGTCACTACGAATGCATGAATGGAAGTAGAGCGGTGCCGCATCCCAAAAACGGGATTAATCATTGACGAATGCTTTACGCTTTGTCCCATGTTTTTGTACGTCGAGGCAAAGGCCGCGATTCCCTGGACGAAATGAACCCTCGTGTGAAACGAACGGAGTGGAACGCAAGTGCATGTACGTCATTGAAGCTGCGGAATACCAAGGCTGATGCGCTATGGCGCAAAGATCATTATGTGCTCTGCCCATCGTATA